TGATTTTGGTTTGGGAGGAGAGAAACGTCAATTTGTTGTTCCACTTGTTTATGCATTCATCTGGTTGATTCTTGTGTGTGCCCTGTCTGGGGATTGAACCTTCAAGCTTGGTCTTTTGGAATGACACTCTAACCATTTGGGCTACCTGACCAGGGCCTGAAGCTCTCTTCTTAGAGGTAGTGAGTATTTCTTGTTAATTTTTTAATTAAATATACTTTTGTTTGTAAGTGATTGTTATTCTTATTTCTATAGCCAGGTAACCTTATTGAACATTCTTCCCCAATAATGTTTTAGATTTCAAGTTTGCCATCATTTAGTCATTATCTGCAAATAACAGTTGATCTAACCTCATAATTTTATGCCTCTTTTAAAAAAATCTTGACTTACTGCATTGATCACTATTTCTAAATATTGCAAAATAATAAGGATAAGGGTAGGTATTCTTGTTTTATTGAAATTGTTCTAATCACTGTGCTTCCTATTTGGCTTGAAATATGTGTTATCATATTACAGGATGAATTTTATCAGATACCTCTTAGCATATGAAGAGATGATTATAAGGTTTTTCTCCTTTGAACTTTTTAAAAGATGACATATTAATAAGTTGCTGAATGTTGGCTCACAGTTAAATTCCTAAAATGAACCCTACTTGGTGATTTGTAATAAATGGTCATGTTTTATTTAGGGCTTTGTTGCATCTGTATTAACGAGTGTGTTTATAAGTTTTTTAGTACTATCTTTGTCAATTTTTTTATCAGGATGTTCGTATGTTTCTGAAAAGAAGTGGGGAGGTTTTTTTTTTCTCTGTTCTTTAGGTAATTTAGATAATTTGGGAGTTATATGTTCTTTTATGGCTTGAAAGATCTTGGTTATGAAATTGTCTTACCCAGTCATATTGTTAATGACTTCATTTTGAAAGCAATTAAAATTTACAGTAAATTTGGGGGAAGAAAAAGTACAAGGAACTTCCATATTTACCTAAATGACCGGCTGTTGTTAGCATATATAAACTTTTTCCCCCTCTCTGTGTATGCACATGCATATTCTCTTTACACACAAATGTATATAAACCAGTGCACAGTCACACATTACGCTTTGTTGTAACATCTCTTCAGTCTTCTTTAACCTGGAATGGTTCTTAAGTCATTTTGTTTTTTGTTTTTTATGAGCCTTGGAGCTTTTTTGAGGGACAATTGTTTAATAACTTTCTCATTTTGTCCCAGAGGTACAGGTCTTTATATACTGTTAGTTCTTGAAAAAAAATTTGGTAATTTGTTTCCAAGAACGTTGTCAGTGTCCTTTATATTTTAAATTTTTTAAAGAAGACTTGTAACGCAGTGTGTTTTATAAAACAAAACAAAACGCCCTTCTATCTGTGACATAACTATAGCCTTTTGGGTTTCTAATTTTAATAATAGCTTTTCTCAATTAGGCTAACTCTTGGTTTACCTGTTTTGACTATTTTTCTCTCATATTGCTTAAGGTCTTTACCTTAATACACTCCTTCAGCTTTCCTTAGGTTTTGTGTGTGTATATGTGGTTGTACTCTTTACTTCTTGAATTGAATATTTAATAAACTGATTTTCACTTTTTGCTAAGAGAGTGTGAATTTTCCTGAAAAAGATTCGATTTGAATTTGATAAGAGATTTTTCTCATTATTACTGTTTTTAAATATTCTGTAATTGTAAAAATATAGAAACTCATTATATAGTTGATTAGAAGCATTGCTTTTAAAGCAGTTCTCAGGTGTTTGTGAACTTTTTTTATTGTTACCAATATCAACTGTTATTGTATTAAAGTCAGATAATATGGTCTGTATCATTTGTTTTCTGGGGGTTTTTTGGGTCCCCAGGGCAGGGTGGGTGGGAGTGTGTTAGGAAACTCTAAAACTTTTGTTTTCCAATATAAAGTCCAATAAACACTTGATTTGTAGTTAATGTTTTAAGCATGTTTGAACAGAATATATCTTGATTTCAGCATATAGTATTTTTAATAGGTTTGCTTTGAGTTATCTGGCATAAATATTTAGCACATAAAATTCATAAGTGAAATTATAATTTAGACTACACCCTAATCAATTTTTAAAGACATTCATCCTGTTTATTGTTTTATTTCTTATTTTTTAAGATTTTATTTATTTATTTTTAGAGAGCGGGGAAGGAAGGGAGAAAGAGAGGGAGAGAAACATCAACGTGTGGTTGCCTCTCACATGCTCCCAACTGGGAACCTGGCCTGCAACCCAGGCATGTGCCCTGACTGGGAATCAAACCAGCAACCCTTTGCTTTGCAGGCTGGCACTCAGTCCACTGAGCCACCAGCCAGGGCTGTTGTTTTACTTCTTATGCTTTCTTTGTTTGAAATTAAAATTGTAACCCTTGATTTATTTTTGGTTATTTTGTTTGGTATATTTTGCCTGCCCCAAAGCCCTATATTCTATGACATCTGCAATATTGAGTATAGGGTTGTTAAGGAGCATGAGTGAAATAATGCTTACAAACCACTGAGAGCTGTTTTTAGAATTCTTAAACATTGTCTGCCATTAAGGTGTCTTCATATTAATCTTTGTACAGTCAAAACACCCTTGCCATAATGTTTATCAACTTGGTGTCAGAATGGTAATCTGATGAATACCAACATAAGGAATGAATGATGGCTAGTTGTCATTATTTACCTTTCATCAGTGGAATTACAGTAGGGGTACAGGAGTATGTAGGAGATTATTTTATTGCTCCAATCAGCCAGACTTCTCTGCCTGTGTATTAGTTTGATCATAGTAGGAAAAAGAACACGGAGAGGTTGTTTGTAAACTATTTCATTCCTTAGGGGTTTCTTCCCCTTTTTCTCCTGGCTCCTCAGAGTTTAGCATCACCAGCATCATCAGCCCCCTGGTCTCATAACTGTATCCTGACTTAGGTACTTTTTCCTGTCCCCTACCCCTGACTTCCTATCTCCCCTTCACCTCTATCAGTATCATTCTATTTTTTTTCCAGATTGGTTTCTATTCAGTTATGACCCATTTAATGACTTGGACCCTGAGTCTCTCCATTCCTAGGCATCAAGTAAAGGCCAACCTAAATCATGACCAACTGTCTCCCTGCCTTGCGTGGACCCATTTCAGACCAGGGGTTTCAGCTTTTAATTACTGGAAAGGATTAGATTAGCTAAGCTTTTAGTGTTATCCACAGGGCTGACCATAGACCCTTTTATCTCTTTTATAGTTTTTACCTAATGGTCATAGAGTGCAGTGATAATGATACATATTGTTACCACTAGAGTAAAAGAATACCAGTAGATTACAGTAGATTAACTTTGTTATAGAGAAGCTTTGTTATAAGTACAAGGTCTGTCCAGAAAAAGTCCAGCCATTGTTAATAAAATGAGAGCAGTTTGCGTGACATCACTGTAACCTAGCAGCCAAGGAGAGTGGACTGGACTGCACATGCTTGAATAGTGACAATGTCACTGTACTAGTCAGTGGGGGCAGTAGATGCCCTTGAGTGAGCATGTGTAGTATGTGGCCATTGCATTAAAAATAAGTGAGTAGAGCAACAAATCTGCATCAAATTTTGCATTAAGCTTGAACATTCCTTTTTTGGATGATTCAGAAGGCCACAGCTATGGGCAACTGGTGATGGGCAGCTTCATCATGACAACATGCCCGCTCATGCATCATATCTTGTGCAGAGTTCTTCAGCGAAACATCAAACCACCCAGGTGACTCAGCCCTCCTACAGCCCAGATTTGGCTCCCTGAGACTTGTGGTTTTCCAAAACTAAAATCACTTTTGGAAAGGGAAGAGATTTCAGACCATCAATGAGATTCTGGAAATACAATGGAGCAGTTGATGGCGATTGAGAGAACTGTGTGATGTCTCAAGGTGCCTACTTTGAAGGGGACTGAGCTGTCATTGTTCTTTGTGCAGTGTTTCTTGTATTTTGTATCTTGAAAAAGAAAATGTCACATGGCTGGATACCTTCTGGACAGACTTCGTACGTGTAATTGCTTTATAACTTGAAAATTGAAGCTGGACCACCTAGGGTAATTTAATATCTTACTGCCTGTATCAAAGACTGAAAACTTATGAAAAAGGTAAAATTTGAGCTAGATTTTAAAGGATGGGTATGCTTTTTTAAAAAGACTTTATTTATTTTTAGAGGAAGGGGAGGGGAAGAAAAAAGGAGAGAAACATTGATGTGTGAGAAAAAGATCAATTGGTTGCCTCTTGAACATGTCCCAGCCAGGAACCAGGCCCACAACCCAGGTGTGTGGCCTGACTGGGAATCTGTCCAGTGACCTTCACTTCGCAGAAGGATGCCCAACCAACTGAGCCACACTGGTCAGTGCGGGTTTGCTTTTTTATAAGTAGAGAGGAAAGGCAAGTGACTCCAGATATGGAGACTAATATGAACAAAGAATTAAATGAAAGAGTGTGCAGATTTGGCCCTTTGTGAGTAGATCCCTTTTTACTTTTTCGGAGGGTTGATGGAGTAGGTAATTTGGAATCAAACTTTAGAAAGTTGTAATGTTCCACTAAGACTTTGGAATTAGTAGGCTTTTGGTATGTCCTGTGAATTCACTTTGCTTTTCTTGGTATATATACATACAACTTATTTCTGAGATTCCCTAAAAGAGTCACATGTTCAGTGCATCCTTAAACGCATGGCCTAGTTTATGTAAGTTGATGACCGCTGCCAAGTTGTCATTTTGCCTTAAATGGTTATGCCTTGAAGAGTGTCAGATCTGCCATTTTTATCCTGATGCTTTAGTTCTTTCTGCCTGTTGTCCATTCCTAGCTGCTCCTGATTAGTCTTTCTCCACTTTTCCCTTTTTTTTATCTCCAGGTTACAAATCAGCAATACAGTGAGTGCCTGCTTATCACAAGAGTTGTAAATTCTTATTGAAAGCTTTCTTTGTATTTCCTTCACTCTTAAAAATGTTATTGGCTATGTGTTTTGTTTATAAAATAGTTATTTACTCAGTTGTTTCTCTTCTTTTGCAGACCTAAAGGATCAAGACATAATGGGAGCATTTTTAGACAAGCCAAAGATGGAAAAACATAATGCCCAGGGGCAGGGAAATGGGTTGCGATATGGGCTAAGCAGCATGCAAGGCTGGCGAGTTGAAATGGAGGATGCACATACAGCTGTGATTGGTTTGCCAAGTGGACTTGAAACATGGTCATTCTTTGCTGTATATGATGGGCATGCTGGTTCTCAGGTTGCCAAATACTGCTGTGAGCATTTGTTAGATCACATCACCAATAACCAGGATTTTAAAGGGTCTGCAGGAGCACCTTCTGTGGAAAATGTAAAGAATGGAATCAGAACAGGTTTTCTGGAAATTGATGAACACATGAGAGTTATGTCAGAGAAGAAACATGGTGCAGATAGAAGTGGGTCAACAGCTGTGGGTGTCTTAATTTCTCCTCAACATACTTACTTCATTAACTGTGGAGACTCAAGAGGTTTACTTTGTAGGAACAGGAAAGTTCACTTCTTTACACAAGATCACAAACCAAGTAATCCGCTGGAAAAAGAACGAATTCAGAATGCAGGTGGTTCTGTAATGATTCAGCGTGTGAATGGCTCTCTGGCTGTATCGAGGGCCCTTGGGGACTTTGATTACAAATGTGTCCATGGAAAAGGTCCTACAGAGCAGCTTGTCTCACCAGAGCCTGAAGTCCATGATATTGAAAGATCTGAAGAAGATGATCAGTTCATTATCCTTGCATGTGATGGTATTTGGGATGTGATGGGAAACGAAGAGCTCTGTGATTTTGTAAGATCCAGACTTGAAGTCACTGATGACCTTGAGAAAGTTTGCAATGAAGTAGTTGACACCTGTTTGTATAAGGTAGCTAGACTTTTTCTTCTAAAGATAAAATTATTTTATGCCATCTTAATTACTACTCTAGTATTTAATCATCTTAGAACCTGGTAGTTCTCAGAAATAAGATTTTGGCATAATTGCACACACTCTTCACCTGTTACGAAACTGTAGGAATATGTTTTATAAATTACCCAGTTACCAAATATGCAAGAGTTATAATGTGAATGTTTAGTCTTTTAGTAAATATGACTACTTGAGGTATTTAATATTGTGGAAGATTGCCAAAGGTAAAAAGATTATTATATAAAAGTACAGTGTTTTTTAAAAAGGATGATGAGAGGTTAAGCCTCAGTATTTGTAAATAAAAGATATTTTAGAATTTTAGTATTTTATTTTTACCATGTGATATCTCAGTACATTTAGTACTTTGAGACTATGGTCTAATGAATCTGTAGCACCAACAAAGAGAAGTTAGTGATCAGTTGGTGTGATATAGTAGAAATAGTCTGGGACTTGGAGTCAGAATAACTTCGGATGAGACTGTATGACTTCAAGTAAGCTGTTATTTGGGGGGAAAAAATAAGAAATATTAATACCCTGTCTCAGGGGATTGTTAGGGTAATCAACTAGGATTGCGAATAGAGATGAGCCAGCTCAGCACCTTTATTTTACCAGAGGAAGCTGAAGCCAGAGAAGGCTCTGTAACTTAAGAGTCATACAGACCTGGAATCAAGGCTTACCACTATTACTTTTGTACTCTAGAATATTGAACAAATTGTTCAACCTCTCTCAGCTATTGAATGGAGATAATATTATCTAACTCAGGATTATTAAGGAACTAAATTAATAAACTAATGTATACATATGATGTGCCTAGTTTCGCAAATAGTGTATAATGGAAACATGCTGCTCCCTATCCTAGAGAAGTTAAAAATTACTTCTACAGGGTTATAAAATTTACTTCTTCGGTAGCACTAAGGCTAGAATCTAAGTCTTAAGTTTAGTATTCTCTTTTGTCAGTAATGCTCATTGACTACAATTCTTTCATTGTTTGAAGCAAATGTTGATTATATACAACTCTTTTCAGGCTATATATTTGATTTTCTTTTAACATGCAGAAATAGAAAGTCAACATAATATTCTTTGTAGTTTTGTATGCACATTGCCAACTCTACTTAAAATCTGATTGTACTTAGAAACCAGTTTTATGTAACATCCAAACCAAACCAAATTTATGTAACATTCAACACTTCAGTTAAAAAAATCAATAGAATAATAGAGCCACAACTTAATAATGTACACTGTTAATTTCTGAATTTTGGGAAAACCAAATAATGATGCATATGTTCTTTGTCTCTTTTAGTATATGCATAAAAGTAGCATCTATTTGATGGGTTTATTCTGTAGCACTTGAGTATTAAATATTTGTTAGCTACATTAAAAGACGTTTTCTTAAGAGAATTGTCTGATTCAGATATTAGTAGATTATGGTTCAGATTCCACTTTTTCTCTTCTGCATTCTACTCTATTTTCAAAATTATTCAATACTTTATTATGCCACATTTTATACAATTTTCCCCCAGGGTGTTTTTTATTAAATTCTTTGTATTTGCTTAAACTAAGGATATAAGGTCGATTTTCCCATATAGTGAGGTTAAATATTTAAAATATAAAAGTTAACTCCAATTACCAATAGGAAGAGGAGTATGAGGAGTCCAACTTGTATTCAAGTATTAATTATAGCATTTTGAATACCTAGATATCTTTAAAAATGAATATGCCTTCTAAAAGTTGTCAATATTTTTTAAATTATGGAAGTTAAAAGCTGATTTATAAACTTTACGTATGTGGTTTTACTTCTAATTCCCTGTGTCTACTTAAGCAAATTAATTAACCCCACAGATTATTATAATTTATTTTAAATGTAAATTTGTTTAGTCTCATGTAACTACAAGTCAAATACTGTTTAAGGGATACCACTAAAATTTCTTATTTTGTGGAATTAAATTAATGTTTGTATATGTGTATTTGTCTTTAAGTATCACTTCAAGTTAAGTAGGCCACCATAAATGTTCAGAAATATTTTTGTTTTATAGAATTTTGAAATGATTGTTCCAGTGGAATTTAACCAGCAGTGTTTCTGTTCTGTTTTTTTAGAATGTTGATTATATTATGTACTATATATACTATATGTATGTGGAGGGGTATCCCTTCCACATATGTATATATTTTTTCCCTCTTAAAAACAATATGTATTTTTACTAAGACAAATATAATTATAATTGGCATGGCTATAAATGTTCTCAAGGCTTCCAAGAGCAAAAAGAAAACCAAACCAAAATATTTTCTCAAACTTTTTTCTTCTCAGGGAAGTCGAGACAACATGAGTGTGATATTGATCTGTTTTCCAAATGCACCCAAAGTATCGCCAGAAGCAGTGAAGAAGGAGGCAGAGTTGGACAAGTACCTGGAAAGCAGAGTAGAAGGTGGATCATTTAACAAAAAATAAGTAGCTTTATTAAAGAAAAACCTCAACACAATCAGACTTTAACATTTTAGCTTTTAGATATTTTCATGCCTGTGACATCTAGTGTTTAGTGTACAAAAGTGACAAAGGGCATTTCTGTAGTAGGTGTTTAGATGCTTGTAATGTTTTTATCACAGTTATATTAGAAATAACAGCCACTATGGCCCTGTACATTCTGTTCAGGATACTTATGTTTAAAAAGGCTCAAGTGTTTGTATGCTTTGAAATTCTGGATGAATTCACTGGCATGAGTAATTTTATGCCAGGAAAGTCTGATTTGTGGTTTATTTAATTATAAACAGATTATTTATGATGGTGATAATTTGATTACCATCTTTCTCTGTAAAGCTGCGTATATGAATTTAAGATATTTAGGAGTTTTGTTTTTAAACAACTTGAAGATCACAGCCTGGTTATTAACAACTATCATGTGCCACAGCTTTTAAAATTTTATTTTAAATTGTTTTAAGGCTTTCTTGCCTAAGTCATAAACTGCCTCACCTGGACAACATATACTGACTAGAAAGACATACTAGGTCTCCACCTGGCAGATTTGTAAATGCTGAATAAGTCATGAAATAAGTTTGGAATTCTAGGAGTATATTTGTTAGAATTCTGCAAATTACTTTGAGACAATTAGAAAGATGTTTGTAACTCTCAAGTGTAATGCCTTTAAATATGTGAAAAATTTAAATGATCTTCAATGCAGATACTATTTGGTATAAATATTAAATCTCCCCAGAGAATTCCAGTTTACTGCATATATGCAATAAGCATGTAAATTAGGCAGTTTCTTTAAAGAGAAAAACTTGGCATGCCTATAATAGTGTTAAAATGCATTTGGGGTTTCTAATGTCATTAATTTGCACGTTAAAGACCTCTAATAGCATGTAAGCATTGACTGAAACACTATTATATCCTGCTGTGCCTGCATTATTTAAATCAGTCTACACTTTAATTTTGTTTTTTCCCTTTTACTGTTTAATATCAGTTATAATCAGTCTGATATTAGAATCATACTGGTTTTGATTTGCAGTACTATCTAGAGGTGCTATTATGTTTTTATAGTTGTCTCCCACTTCATAGTGATATATTTAGTACTCTGTGTATGTACTGTTTAGTATTTCATTCATTGCACATACTATTCAATGAGTTTGTTTCCTCACTATTGCCAAGGGTCTTAGAATTTTTATATTTTAAGTGAATCATTTCAATGTAAGTTATTTATTTATAATACAGTAAAATAAAATATTTAGAATGGTACCAAATCATATCACATTGGTTCAAACTGATGGTTAGTGGGAAAGTATGAAGGCATAAGAAGAATATGTATTGGGATAAATTGATGTTTAATTTATTGGCACTTTAAAGTAACCTGGGCATAAATGTTTTCTTATTGATTTAAAGGGACAAAAATAAGTACTATAGTTTAATTTACTATGAAATGGGATCAAATTTTAGAAATAAATTGCTATTTTTCTTTTTAGTGTACACTCACAAATTTTTGATGCAATTCCAAATAATTGGTTTAGGTACATAATTTTATGGTGTACTATTAAGTTTATATTGCTTATTATTGAACAAGAACTGCCCCCTGAAGAGTTTACATTAATACTAAATATTTTAATATGTTGTAGTGTGATTACACTTGTACCAGTCAGTTGGAGATTATGTTGTAAATTAAATACCATATTCTTTACTGAGGTAAATTTGATGAGACTGCAACTAGAGAATAAATAATTGCATTAATTAAAACCACTACTATATTTAAAAACATAGAAAAAATGTAACTATTTCTATTATAAAAGTTAAATCTTAAGAAGTAAAAAAATACTGCATTTATCTTCCAAAACAGACATCAAGTACCTTTTTCTCTCTTTTTTTTCTTTTAAATACAACCTTCACTAAATTGCTGTGACTTACTAAACCTCATTTTATTTGTTTTAAGTACTTTTGGATTCTCTAGACAGAGGCTTTTCAGCTCTCCTCCTACTATCTGTGTCCTTCTAAAACTCCACTCTCAGGTGAAAAGATTCAGCTGATAATTTAAACCATACCGCCTAAGGTAGTGATCCTTCTAATCAATTTAAGATTATACCTGTATGTACATATTTTTAAAATCTTTGCTACTGACTGCCCAGGCTTTAAAGTTGCTAATTTTTGGAGATAACTAACTGCTAGAATGCCTCAAACTTGTTGGAGGGAAGTGTGGAGGAGCAGAGTGTGTTAATATATGGGTATGTGAAACATAGATCTATACATATATGTTCTTCAATAAAAGACAGTCTTTTTACAATTCTAATTAAAATGTATAGTCCAAGAACAGTTAAAGGAATATTTATTAAAATTCGTTTCTTTTTATTTTTTAAAAACAGAAAGAAGCAAGGCTAGTATATATTAATGGTCAGATAGTTTAAACGTATTGTCCCATGTGGAATAGGAGATAGTAATAGTTTTTAAAGCCTTACATAATTCTTTTTAAGAATTTGTCTTACTGTAATTTTCTTCACAATTAAAGCATCCTAATTTACATTTTAACAAAGGAGATGTAAGATACACCAATTATAGGCAATTCAAAGTAATGTTTTTTTAGACCTGAAACTATCATTGATTGAATTTATCATCAATGTTCATTTCTATTATGTCTAGTTATCTATCCAGTAATTGTATTGGCTTAGCGAGACTGTATGTTAAGTGTAACACAGCTTTAGATTGTGAAATTGTGCAGTTTAGGTAAACATCCAATTCTTTTATTTTTGTACAGCAGATTTCCAGCATTAGAACCATGTAGAATAAATATACTAGATGTTAAAGATTACACAATAAAGGAACTTGGCAAACCAAATCTGAGATCCTTGCTTTTTATTCAGATTTAAGACTGGTTTTTTTTTTAAGGCAAAATATAATAGGTGGGAAAATTTGGCCTTAATTATAAAAGGATAGTTTGAGCCATTTAAAGAAATACGGGTAGTATTGTCTTTTAATATGTGGCTTTAAGGATGAATTAACATTTTGAGATTTGATCAAAGGATGAAAGATCTTTATATACATTGGTATTTTCAAAGGTATTTACAAATTGAGAACCAGAATGATAATATTCTTGCCCCAGTGGTGACAAAGAAAATATTTTAGTATAAACATTAAAAAAACAAAACTTGAACATAAAACTTACACAGATACCTTTGGCATGATCTTGCATTTAGAATAAATATGCTAAAACTCCAAATGAAGACTCCTTGTACTTCAAGTGAATAGTTGAAGAGTTCTTTAAGTTGCTTGTACATAATTGTTGGTGTTCTATGGTATGAATAACAATATGCATCTGCATGGTAAGACTGCAGATCATATCACTATACCCATTTAATAACTGAATGTTTTGAAATTAATGATTTTAAATGCAGCTGTATGATTTATCAGTTTTTTCTTTTTAAAAATTTTGTCATGAAATTTACACTTTTTTTCATTCTATATGCTTTGTTCAAATAATCAACTAAAGAAAAGGTATTATTTATCTATTTATTGCTTTAAAATACATTAGACAAAAAAATTAAACTGAGAATGGTGTTTGAATACATAACCTAATCTTCAGTGCTACTTAAGTATCATTTTGCAAATACAAAATTTTGTGTAAAAGTAATTTGCATTAGTATGTAGTCAGTAAATTCCCCTTTTCTTAAAGGTAACCTTTTTTCCAAATCTTGAAATTGTCTATTTTTAAAAAAATCTGTGCAGTGTATTTTCAGGGCAAAGTTCAAGAAACATGTTTCCAGTCTAGAGAGAGGAGTTGATCTCAGAAATAACTAGTTGGCATCTTAAGGAGAATATTCTCACCTGTACACATGTATTTCTGATTATGTAATACTGATTTTTAACATGAAATTTAATTTTCACATTTTTGTCTTGTTTATTTTCATTCTCTGCAGTTAATTCTGGAAAATACCTTTTATGTCATTTTGTGTATCTCTTTGTCATAAATTTTCAAAGATCAACTTGATTTTTTTTATACCAGTTTAGAAAATCTCAGATGTGGTAAATGCCATCTTTAAAAACCTAAGTTATCTTTGTTTCAGTTTTTTTTTTTTAATTAAATTTGGATAACACTTACAAAAAAAGTACTTCTGATTCCCAGAAATCATAAAGAAGCAGGGGGAAGGCGTCCCTGACTTAGTCCATGTGATGCGCACATTAGCAAGTGAGAACATCCCCAGCCTCCCACCAGGGGGTGAATTGGCAAGCAAGTAAGTTACATTCTGCATACTCTTATGATTTATCTCAGTACATGAAAATTTTAGGTGTTTGTTGATTGTATATTTACCTAATTTTTAAAATGATGCAATTATCTGTATATTCAGAACATTTAATTTGTGGTTCACTGTTTTTTGGTATTAATGATATATGGTGCTTATTTAGAATAGGTATCAGAATGTTACTGTTTTTAATTAAGGACACTGAAGGCTGTCCTTAGTGGAGGTATTGATTTCCTCATATAGCATAAATGAAATAATATAGTGAGAGAATTTTTTAAATTAAATTACATAGCACTACAAAAATCCAAGTGTCATTATTATTCCTACTATTATAATTTGACCTTGTCAAGCCTTGGATAATTTACCCCAGAGATGACCATTCCTTCTTCTCCATTGGGACCATTTTTTTACATTTAACTTTTCCCAGTGGTTTTAGTTGCTGATTGCTGGTAGGTTGGGTTTTGGTATATTTGCATTTCTTGCCTTTTTCTCTTTGCACTTTATTTCATAGAGCTCAACTTATCAGTGTTAAATATTAAGCTTTCATCTTTATAAACTAAAGTGGACACTTGAAACTCTTTTATAATACAAGGCTTAAAACATTTTTACCTCAGATATCCATATAATTGATCTACAAAGATATATTGACTAATTTTTTTATTCTCCACTGTGTTCTGTAAGTGTTGCTGTGTTCTTTTTAATTCTTTCACTAAATAGTAATTATAAAGCTTGCTCTTTGAAGCTTTTATTTTTTTGGAAATCTTCCCTTCCAAATGTGAAATGATTGTCTATAAAATTACTTCAAATCGATTTTGGAAGTAGGGAGGCCATAACTTAAAAATACCACTATAGATTTTTTTTTTTAACAAAACATTATTCTAACACTAATTCCTAGGTTTGTCAGGGAAATGTTATATTTCACATTTCAGTTTTAATAAAGCTGTTTTAAGGGGCATTACAAAAAGCACAAACTTAAATGTAAAACATGTAAATTATCTTACTACAACATTCAGCTCTTAATCAGAATATATTCATATTATATCTTAAGACCTTCATCATCATTACTCACCCTGGCTAGTGTGGCTCAGTTGATTGGAGCATTGTCTGGTAGACCAGAGGGTCATGGGTTCAATTTCCAGTCAGGGCACATGCCAAAGGGTTGTGGGTTCAGTCCCTGGTCAGGGCACATACAAGAGGCAACCAATTGATATTTCTCTCTCTCATTGATATTTCTCTCCCTCTCTTCCCCTCTCTGTAAAATTAATAAGCATGTCCTTGGGTGAGGATAAAAATAAAAACCTGCATCATCATTGCTGACTCATAAACCACTTAAACCAGTTCAAATAGAAATGGACCATATAGGCTGATTGTTTTTTTTAAATCATGACTTTTAGTCTTGCATTAATTGGGTCGGTGGAATGTTACTTCTTAGGAGTAAATTTACCTCTATTTTAACTTGGGGCCCCAGGTATCTTCAAGGAAGTTCACTTATTAACAGTAAGAAAGAACTAAAATAATTTCTAAGTGTAAGATTATCTTTGACGTTTTAATGAACACTTGGCTATGAGTAATTAAACAATTTTATGCTCTGAAGAATTAACTTTCTGCATTTTTTAAAATTTAGGCGGAATGTAATTGAAGCCGTTTACAATAGACTGAATCCTTACAAAAATGATGACACTGTAAGTAGCATTTTAGTTCTCTCTGCTTTCCCTTCCCCTCCACTCTAAATGCATATCCTTCCTACCTGTTTTTGCAGAGCTGTTCACTGCACCCATTCTCTTACACACACCCCTGATTGATTGCTCTGAACTCTGCCTGCACCACAGTTCTAGTGATTGAGGACATAATCATGGTGAGTGGCCACCTCTCTCAAAAAAGAAGAAAGTCCCTTTGAATTATTGTGGGTTTTTTAAGCCTCTACAAGCAATCAACTAAAGAAGATTTGCCTCCACTAAACGTTTTTTTGAAGTTGGAAGTAATATCATTACTCAGAATCCTGAATTATTCTGAGTTTGTAAGCAGTAGCTGCAACAGAACTTCACAGAGCCCATCTCCACTAAATAGTTTTTATAGTTAGAAATACCTTTGCCAAGAACCCTGAAGTATATACTTCATTTAAATATTAAAGTGGAGAATTGTGTTTTATAGAAATAGATATTAGAATGCCATTCTCAAGTTTTTTGTTACAGCTCTGTTGTAGTATGGTTTGCATAGAAAAGTGGTAACTTCAAATCATTTGGACAGGCTCTGAAATCTTTTATAATTGCATTATGAAGCCTCCTTGAAATCTCGTTACTTGAGTTCTCAATTTCTTATGCAATAAAAGTTTATAAAAGCATTCTTTTAATAAAATAAATTGGGTTTTATTGAAGACAAAATGAAATTTTTAGTAGTTTTATTGGTTTAGAAATACATTTGGTTGACCTCATGGTGAACTATTTCAAGTAGTATTTTCCAAAACAAAACAAAGGGTTAACAATTTTTTTGAAAGATTAAATATTGATATTTCATATATACACATACACATACTTCCATATATACTTTAAATAACATTTGAATTCTGAAAGTCCACTTTACAAAACCTATTCTTCTGCATTATCCAGAAAGTAATCTATTTTGGCATCTCTAAGCTTTAATTTTGTTCCTTGTTTTGCTTTGTTTCCTTTTATAAAGGACTCTACATCAACTGATGATATGTGGTAAAACTGCTCACCTAGCCATGGAATATACCTTCACCTCCAAAGGAGAGTACAGCTCATCTTCATTGAACCTTTTAAACATCCGTCATCAACCTTAAAGAAGGGCATATGACTTGGGTGAGAGTGGTTACACCAGAGAACTTCAGCAGTACAACAGCTAGCCCAGAACTGAATTTTTTTTTTTTTGTAAATTTGAGACTTACGTAAACGTGATTTCAAACCATAATTCATGTTGTAAATCAGACTCCAGCAATTTTTGTTGTATGATTTTGTTTTTTGTAAAGTGTAATTGTCCTTTGTATAAAATGCTCATATTTAATTATGAACCGCTTTAAATCACTATCAAAGTTGCAAGAAATGTTTGGCTTGTTGTGTGACGCAACAGATATATAGATCTTTCAAGTCATGTGTTTGAACTCGGGGTTGGGACAGGGAGAGCAGCAGCCATGTCAGCTAGACGCTCAAATGTGCACGTGATTGTGGAGAAAAATTCGAAAATCTTACAAAGCCAAACATCCAGAGAGTTAATTGGAAACTATCTTAATGTTCTTGGCAGCGGGATTGGCACTGTTGATAAAGCTAGTCCTTTCATTTAACTGTCTTTTAGGTTGTTCTCTACTTGTTGCCATGAGTATTGCAGGTTATACAGTATATTCACCAAAATATCAGTCTTGGGGCTAAAATGCCTTGATTCTTTGCACCTCTTTTACAAGTCCTTACATTTAATTATTAATTGATAAGCAGCAGCTTCCTACATATAGTAGGAGACTGCCACATTTTGCTATCATGATTGGCTGGGCCTGCTGCTGTTCCTAGTAAGATATTCTGAATTCCATTTTATCAATAAAGCTTGATTTAACAAACAAGAAATTAAATCATGTATGTGTAATTCCTCCTTTACCCTGCCCTTTTAAAACACCATGCCATTGTAAATGAGAAGTCTCTCACTGGGAAAGATATTAGTCTCTTTTAATTGGAAAATCCTGTTACTCAAGGCAGAGATGGAACTGTTTCCCTTCCATTAGCAAGACTAAAAGATTTAAGTCTCTGTTGTTCCTTAATCTATTTTTTAAATGGGTTTCTTTCTGGCTGCTTATTTTTCATTAAGATATGTATCAGTTCAAGTTTGCCTACTGTTTAATTAAAGTAATTGTCAGAGCTTGACAATCTTAACACTCTTATGATAGGTGTGTGTATGTTTGTGAGTGTGTGTTTGCCTGTGATTTTTAATTGGCCCATGTCTTTACAATCCAAGTTAAGATGTATTTGTGATTTGAAGTACAGCATGTTGATAATATTTAGCTGTTGGCCTTTAAAAATAACTTTCAAAATTTAAGGAACTGTAGATATAAAAATAACCTAATTTAATTTAGGCTTAAATTGCTCTGATTAAGCATGTGAAAGTAATTTTAAAATCTGTCACATTGAAAAGACTACTGTTCTGTGCCCTTCTGTATTTTTGTATCTTTAGGTTGAATATTGTATTTATCACCATGTAATTTAATCATTCAGTAGGCAGATTCCCCACTAGAAAACTATTAAAATACAACATTGGAATACAAAATCAAAATTTTGTGTATAAAAGGTAATATAATCAGTTTTGTTATATTTGTTTTTTCCATAACTTGGAAATATACATATTTGTATATATAGCCTTAAAACTAATGTAAAGTTAGGGGAGTAGTGGAAAAAGTAATGTGAAATGTCTCAGATTTAAGTAGTTACATACCAGCAAAATTTTTTCATTATCCCTCTTATTTGTGAGGTGATTAAATGTAACTTAATTGTATTTAATTTATCTTAATCTAGCATGAATGAAGAAAAACAAGTACTATTTATACTTAGAAATTCGTAACAGTTGGAATTACAGAACCAATTCCATACTTAACTTACAAATAAATGCTTAATGTCTAAATCTGTGGTAGAGTGCGAAGTATGATAATGTCTTAAGTTATGGCTTTGCAAGTCTAAATGTGCATTTAATAAATAGTAATGCTTCTAGTATAGATTGATTACCAGACATACTGGTACTTAAAACTAAATCCCTATTACAAGAAGCCAGGTTCTTAATTTTTTCAGTAAGTAATTTAAGGTTTTAGTTCTAGAAATTTCAAAACCTTGAATTAGATTTTGAAATGCAAAATCTTAAATCACAAGTAAAATATATGATAGAAAGCTATATTTTAAACAATAACAGCATATACAGAGTTTTTTAATTTGAGAGTCTTTAAATAGAAAAGAGGTTAAAATATTCCTCTGTTAAAATTATTAGTACTGAAATTAGGCTTGAAAGTGAGAGAAGACTATAATAAGTGTGATCTAAGAAGACTAAATCTTTTCCATATGAGTCAGCATTGCCACATTAGATGTAGTTTTTCATTATAAAAATGCAGGAAGGAAGTATACATTATAACAGCAGACTGTGTTTGTTCTTCATTCCTGGGGGCAATGGTGGTGGTAGGGAATCAACCACACTGTTAAAAGGCACTTTTGCACCTCTGTTGTGCACTTCATTTTTGTACCACTTAAATTCTCGACCTCCCACCCCCTTTTGTGTGCTAATTAGCATCTCAGGGCAATGCTTCAAAATTTTTTGATGTGTTGTATGTTATTTTCTTTGGAGGGGAAAAGTTCATGTGTGATGATAACATACTATTCAAAATGTACTTTCATTTAAATATTTTAATAGAATGGACCCACTTTGCTGCTTTTAATAGGAAATTCATTTTGTATAGCAGACTCTTGTTATCCTAACATTAAACAGTTTCACTGATCTCTTATTGTTTTAGCAAGGTAAACTCTTTAATTTCTACTTTCTTAGGGAATATACTTTTACAGATAAGAGAAGCATTTCTCAGTATTAGCATTAACTTTTAAAAATCCAAGAGGTATTTTTCTTACTCAGCTTTAGATCTATTTCAAACGTATTTTTAATTATAAAGCATTAATTTGCTTCTAGAGTACTATGCAATTAGTGTACTGCTTCAGCCACTTAATTTTTTTACTAAAGAAATTTGGATCAAAGAATAAATCAATTATGTAATTCAAATAATCTGAGTTATAGCAGTACTTTTAGTGATCATCCATTTGACCATATATTAATCCAGCTAATAACCCTGCTTTTCCACAAAATGTATTGAGTAGTTATTTGCAAAACACTGTTCTGGGCAAAGCACCTTGGACTATAAAGAAATGAATAAATAGGTCCTTGCCCTCAAGGAGTTTATATTTGAATAGAATTTATACTCTAATATGTGTTACTAATATAACTGGATCACTCATCAAAAAAAATAGTTAATGTCCACCTACTGTCTGCCAGATAGTTTCCTGAACAGGGCAGATCTCTGCCCTAAAGACTGATCTGTACTTCCTTCATTCACTTGAAAATCTGTTTATTTTCTCCACAAAGTCGAAAATCCCATAAATTTTGCTCAGCATAGGAATAAAGTTGTACTGATGAAGCTCAAGTTTATCCAGCATGCTTGATTGCATTTAACAAATCGCCTTTACCCTCCTGCTGAGAGAAGCAAGTCAGAGAAAGAGGTAGTAAATTTCTTGGAATTCTACAGCCCTCGAAATTCTGGTGTATTTTGAGTTTAAGGCATTTAAAAAGTGTGTGTGTGTGTGTGTGTGTGTGTGTGTGTGTGTGTGTGTGTGTCTAAATTTATCTTTTAAGTACCACTCTGTCTTCTTTTCTTGAAAACATACTGCCAGTGCTAATACCCAGTTTTAGCTAAACGATTACTATGTGTTTTAATATTTTAAAACAATTCCACTGCCTATCTTTACTGGACAAATTCATATGGAAATTCAGTTTGTGATTTCTGAAAGAAATGGTTAAATTAGTTAAGGTTTTTTTTCTGTTTTAATTTTGAATTTCATGATGTGTATAATTTCAATACATAAAGTTTGAGAGGTTTAAGCCTTTTAATGTTTTGATTGCTATTTGTACAGTATTGTGTTAGAGTTTGGTATTAGAAAATATTGTGTAAATATTTGTGTGTAAATGTTACTCATTTGAGGTTTTTCTTTGAAGGAACTGTAAAGAGTTTCATACACTTCTTGCTTGCAGGTCCTGCTGGTGAGGTGACTATTTTTTAATTGAGTCATCTAGTCTTCTCCTTATTTGCAGGGGAGGGGTTGTTTGTTTTGTTTTGTTACCACATAAGAAGACTTCTTTGTAGTTTTAGAAGCCTAATTTTACTTTATTTCTTTCAGTAATGTGCCATGAGTTTGGGATTGTATTTCTTTTAAATTAAACATTAGATCAGAATATGCTTGAAATATTTAAGAATACATTTTTTAAGTGTTACGAGTATAATACTGTATTGTTTTGTTGGTCAGAATAATATGTCAGTCAAATGTTAGTTATTACTGATAGTCGGATGCTATATGCAGGAATGATGAGAGACATTAGGCTCCACTTCACTGTCAAATAAACATTTCCACTTCTGTTCACCTCAACACAGGTTTCCCTTTTACCTGCTGTATATATTAAACTTGTGGCTTCTGATCTCATCTCTTCTAGTTATATTACTAGCAGATAGGAATGTGCCAATTAGAAGAACTAAAATATATTGAAGTTGTAGTTGAAAACTTACACTTTAATTAGTTGGAGGGGAAAGGTTGTTTAAATTGGTATAATAACAAAGTGATTTCCCCCCCGCCTTATCCTGCATGAAATGTTGCTTCATTTCCTGTACTGGCCTCTTGGTGTTTTCTCTCTTCCTTCAGACTGAAACAGGCCAATTCCATTTATTTGAGCAAGAAAACTAACTGTATTACTTCACCAAGGCCAATTAATACTGTGTAAAACTGGGCCAAATATAAGAAAATTTGGGAGATGAAAGAGGGGATATGCCAGTGAGGATGACAGAGGAAGATTATTCTTAGTTTTAAAGTCATAGGAAGGTCTTCTTGGACCCAGCTGTATATTAAAAACCGTTGTTTCACATAAACCAGCAAGAAACAGCCTTTACTTCTTCAGATGATTTGATTTTTCCACCAAGGAAAATAGTGATAAAATTACTGCTGCTTCAACATAGACACAATGAAGAAAAATGAATGCAGTGTTTCTTCACCACAAAACCCAACCCTTCAGTTCTTTTCGTTGTTCCAAACCCAGGTTTCTAATTGCTTTGTCATTGAACAAAATGTTTAAAAAAATTATATAGTTTTTCCTTTCTTTTTGCATAGTCCTGAGCCAGTAAAGGGCATTTAGTAATGTTTGTATTTGTATGGTACTATCTGAAGTTAGATTTTTGTAGGAGGTTGGGTAATGATTAGGTTTAGGTATAGGCATAAATTCACTGTAGCAATGGGTTTTAACCTTTTAGGGTTACTTTGATGAATGCTAGGAACTTCCTTACCCAGGAAAATAGATATAACTCCCCAAAGTTTATAATATTGCAATGGTTCAGGAGCTCCTGGTTAAGATCTCATACTATAGCGTAACAGGGCCATCGGCTCTTTTCCTCAAAGCCATAAGAAATATTTCAAGGGCATCAAAATAATTTGACTCTTTCAAAGAACAGTTTCACTTCTTAAAAGATAGAGGAGGTAGATGTGGGCCTAGGCAGGAATCTGACAAAATATTTTCAAAAAATTTTGTTAATCCTCACCTAGGGATATGTTTATTAATTTTAGAGAGAGAGGAAGGAAGGAAAAGAGAGAGAGACATCGATTGGTTGCCCCAACCAGGGATCAAACCCGCATCCTAGGTATGTGCACTGACCAGGGAGGGAATCCACAATTTTTTGCTATACAGGGTGACACTCCAACCAACTGAGCCACCATGCCAGTGCTAAAATATTCTTTTTAAAGGTTGTGTTTTGGGGAAATTGAAAGTGATTAAAGGTGAAAAAAATAATATTAG